GTGGCCCATTCTGATAAAAAATTAAAATAAAAATATCCAAAAACCGTTGAACGGGTTGATGGTTTGAACGCTCGGTTCAACGGGTTATTGACCAATTCAACGATTTTTGGTTAAGAACTGGTTTTAGGGTAAAATGAAACCGATTGCCTGGACAATTCCTGAGCCAAATGGTCCAACCATCTGAGCCAACGGCAATTCAAAAATCATAATATTTACATCAATTATCGATGTAAAACTCAACCAATGAGGAGGTTTACAATGAAAAAACACATGAAAATACAGACCGAGAGTAAAACTTTACACCGCTCCATATTTACACTACAAACAAACGCAAACAAATGCAAACTAACAATAAAGTTTTACGTTGACACAAACAAACGCGCCTTAAAGAAACTTACTAAACACTCCTACTAATTGAATTCCTCAATTATTACTTGTGATCACCAAATGTTCAGATGAATTCCTCGTCATAGCACGTTAATCTTGTTTATCTATTTTGCCGAGGGATTATTGGCCACGTATTCTTTTATTCCACACTAGGGTGTTCATTATTATACGGTTCAGATCGCCAAATCAAACCAATCAAAATTTGTGGTTTGGTTTGGTTTCATTTTAGAAATCAAACCAAATCATAAACCATATATTGAAATACAAATTACTAGTAATGCATGTATATATATTATTTGGGATTTCCAATTGGGTTAAACTCAATAGAATGGCCTAAATCATATTACAAACCGCACCAAATCAAATAAAACGATTTGGTTTGATTTGATTTTCATACTGAAATGATTTGATTTCTTTTAAAAAATTCTCAAACTGTATTTTATTGGTTTGGTCCAATGTCTTCTCCAAACTGCATGGAACCGGACCATGGACATCCCTACTCCACACCCATGGCAATGTGGCATGTGTGAAAAAGCTCCCAAACAGCCAAAGCTGTTGGAAAATGGGGTCACTGTAATCGTGACCGTTGATCTCATCAACGGTGATCAACAGTCAGCATCGCACCAAAACAAAAGTGCGAGCAAAGTGCGCCTCTAAAGCGTGTAAATCAGCTCCTATTAAAATACTGAGTTTATAATTTTCTAATGTGAGGCAAATTCAAAACTAGGTTTTGTTAGAGAAAAACTAATTTTCCAATCAAACGTGCAGATGCAATTTCTCGTGTAATTGACCAATCAAACTCATTAAATTTAATTTCTTATGAGATTAAAATCCAACAAAAGCTTTGAACTTTTCTAAAGAAAACACACTTATACAGCACTCCTCTTGTTTTTGTTGGGAAAAGTGTGGCTGTTTGGAGAAAGCAGCTTGGGCTGTTTCGAAAGCTTCGTGTGCACATGATACATTACCTCACTTAGTTCTTTGTTTACCTTTTAATTAAAAATGTATTGCTCGCAAATTACTCTTATCCTACACTCATGCTAACGTGCCAAACTTATCACAGGCTTCACAGCTTTTATTTATTTATTTTTAAATAGCTAAACTTTTCTAATTTTCTCTAATTGTTGATTAAAAATTTCTAGAAATTTTTTACACGTGGACACTTGTGAGAGATATCTCCTCTTTCTCTTTAATTATTTTAATGGTATTCAATTACTCATACCCTTCTAGAAAACTAAAACACAATGGTGTAAGACTTGGACTGGACCTCAGTTAGACTGTCTAACTCAGGAACCAGAGAGAAATACGATTTTTTTTACTAATTCTTATTTTTAGTTTTTCCTCATACCAAACCGCTATTAACCTGGGTAAACCATCTAAAATCGGCCCGATTTTAGTGAGTCAAATTTTCAATGTCCCATCAGAGTACTGCTTTATCATATATTATATTGCAAAACGATAAGTTGAATTTACAATCTCCTTACAAAGAGGTTGAATTTGCATATTACCATCAGTCCATAACACCATTTGTTTTTTTTGATTCGTTTCTTTAGTCTCAGTTTCGAAAGAGTATAAATATAAATACATAAAAAATAATATAAAATATAAGATTTTGCATTTTATATATTTATATTTGTATTCCTTTGAAACTGAGTTTAGAAAGAATTTAAATACAAATATGTACAATACATATAAAATACAGGGTTTTGCACTCAGTTTGGAAGGAGTATAAATATAAACATGTAGAGTGCAAAACCCTGTATTTTGTATTATTTTGTATGTATTTGTACTGTAAATATTTATATTTATATCCTTTTCTACGTTCAATTTAGAAGAAGTATAAATACAAATACATAGAATGTAAAACTTTATATCTTATATGTAATTGTATTGTACATATTTGTATTTGTATTTATTTCAAATTGAGCCTTAATGCCTATATTGTTGAAATGTATATGCATTTGTTAGCAAAAATAAGTCATGATTTTTAGGCCCTGTTTGATGATTAAGTACTTGTTTCACAAATGCATATTAGAAGTACTTATTTTAATAACCCTTTAGGTTGTTTGGTAACCCACTTTTTCAAATCACTTATTATGTTTTTAAGTACTTATTGGGATGGGAATGTTTGATAAATTACTTTCCCCATAAGTGTTTATATTTATATAAATAACAATTTTAGCCCTCACTTCACTCATACATATATACAATACTTTTCACATGTTATACTTTACAATTCAAATGAGAGCCCACGTTGACTCCCACATGGGCTGTCATGTAGATCCAATTAATAATAATAACAATAATAATAATAATAATAATAATAATAGTCACGGTACAGATGGTACTGAGGCTGGTAGTAGTTGGAGTATTGGGAGGGTAAGGGGTTGTTCCTATGGCGAAAACGTAGCGTTTTTCGGTGATTTCAGGCTGAGGAGGATGGGGTGGTGGATGGCTGTGATGATTCCCATGTCATCGCCTACTATTATAACCAACCACCACTGCTATTGCTTCCAATATTTCCCATTTCCCCCTTTTTTTCCTTTTTTTTTGTCTAAACTAAACCCACTTCTCCTTCAACGACTAAAGAAAAAATAAAGAAGCTGGTCCTTGAAAATTTTCAAAAACTAGTTTTGGAAGGCATTTTCAATCTGGGTTCGCTCTTGTTTCCAAATCTGATCAAATTCGAATAGATTGAATAGGAATGGGGAGAAGGAAGTTCAAAAGTTAAACTTATCTGTTTTTCCTTGCTTTTTTTCTCAAAGAGGAGAGAATGAACAAGAATTTCGAAGATCTTTTTTGTCCTTGTTGTTATTTTTCTTCTAACCCTTTTTGTTGCAGAAAATTTGAGGGGGGTTGATTAGCAGTGACTGGTAAGGATTCTGACTAGGGTTTTCGAAAATGTGAAGATGGTTGAGTGGTGGACTAGTGGTGGAGGAAGAGGTGGGAGGGGGAAAGAAAGTAGAGAGAGGAATCCTTTTGATGTGTCCCCCGCCTCCCCGGGGTTGCGTAAAGTTGTCACACAGCAGGCAGTGTGTCCTCCGGCCATTCAAAGTTTCATACCAGAGGCCAAATGGAGAAGGGGGAGGAATAACTTAGTCGGGGTATTTTAATCATTATAAAAATTTTTCAGGGACCGGTTTGTCCTATTACTTTAGAGAAATACTTTTTCAAGAAGTACTTTTTTATCAAACACCCATAAGTACCTAAAAACCACTTAACGTGTAGTCCTATGTCTTAAAAGAAGTACTTTTAATTGTTCTCAAAAAGAACCTTAAGGCTTGAATATGAATGCCTTGAATGAAGACTAAAAAAGTGACCATTATAACTACAAATTATATGCATATATACTATATACTATATAATATTATGTCATTGGGTCAACCCAGTGATTGAACCGTTTGACTCGCAACCTGATCTATCCGGTTTGATGAATGGTCCGAGTCTTAGAGCATTAGAAAGTAGATGATGTGCAATTTATTGTTAGCTTTTACTAGGTACGTATAGGTTTTCCCTTCTTTATATATACAAAATAATGATTGTAGTGATTGAATGTACTTTGTCCTTACCTTTATCAAGATAAGGAGCTATGGTATCTACATTGTTGCCATGGAAAAGCAGGTCATGAATGATAAAGGCATTTTTTGTATAGCTGTTCTTACTATGTAAGTTAATTTACCAATAACTTTTTACATTAATTTCATTTCAAGGTTAGAGTATTATATAGTGTTTGTTCATATATAAAGTTCTTTTATTTTGTTCTAGATTTTCTTACAGTTTAGGTATTATTTAATTTATCTCTATTTTTATTTAATTAGATATTTTATTTTTAATATTCTATATTTGTTCATATATACCATGCATGTTTTTAGATCTATAGGGTTCCATGGAGATCTAGAAACGTCCCTCCAATCCATTATAAATCAAGTCTAACTTAATTTTCTCAGTCTAACTTAATTTCCTTTGTCTTTACTTAATTTCCTAAGTAAAGACAAAGGCTTCTTAAACTTACCACGTGGATAATGGGTCCCTTAATTTCGTTTTCAAGTGAACAGAAAATCCAACCCAAAGAGGCAAAGACTTGTCTTGATTTAATTTTTCAAGTCAATAAAAAATCAATTTAATTTCTAATTTAGTTGCTCAAGTAAATATGCTTAACATGTGGGTAATGGGTGTCAACTAATTAAAATATACATGTAATCGCCACATCCGAGCTTACAGGGTTCCACGTGTCAAGTAGTGACTGAGTTGGAAGAGTGTGGAACTGGATGTGAGGATTTGACCGGTCAAGACCTCGATTAAGTTAGCAAAAGAGAGAGAGAGAGAGAGAGTGGCGAGGTTTTACCAAGACATTTTTAAATGGGATTAAATCTGATATTTATTAAAAGTTTTACATCTACATTTAAAATAATAATAAAAACAACATGGTCTTGTGTAGAGTCTGACACACAAGGCCTGGGGCGTTGGCTCAAAAACACGCACATTTCTCTTGGCCCACTTCACTTGGAATAAGGGTAGGGCCAGTATGGCGTATCCTTTAGAACTGATCCTCTCTCTCTCTCTCAAAACCCTATTTAAAAACAAGCCTAGCCCACTGCTTTCTCCCATGCACTTGTCTTCTTCAACCCCAACACCACTTGTGCTGTGTTATTGTGCTGTTTTTTCTCTATCCCTCTCTCGCTATTCCTCTTTTTCTCCTGAGTTCTTCTTGCTCATCTTCTTTATAGCTCTCTTACATCTCGCTCTCAACAGCCTGGTCATTGACATTCGGCTCTCTCTCTCTCTTCCTCACTTCTTCCATTCCAATCTTCTTCTTATTAACCTTGCTTCTGACAAATCTATTCCTCATTTGTCTCTTTGGGTCGTGTCTCCCATCTTCAGTCGCTTTTTACTTGGTTCCTGACAAACACAATTCACTGAAAAGATGTCTAGCAGAAGATCGCGTTCGAGACAGTCAGGAAATTCAAGGATCACCGATGATCAAATCAACGACCTTGTATCCAAGTTGCAACAACTTCTTCCAGAGATTCGTGACAGGCGCTCGGACAAGGTGATTTGGGGCTCTCTCTCTCTCTCTCTCACACTTCTTATCTACATTTGTGTGGTCTAACTTTAGCTTATGTACTTGAGTGTTGAGTCGTAACCACAAATCTATCATTTTTCTTTTTGTGGTGTATCTTTTATTAAATACAGTTGAGCTATGGAACAACAATTGTTTCCCCAGGCAGATAACGTTCTGGGTATTATATAGCTTTTACAGGTTCTATCCTGGTTAGATAGTTGCTAATTAAGGTTCAATTCGGTTCTGTTTTGCAGGTATCAGCTGCTAAGGTCCTACAAGAGACATGCAACTACATTAGGAGCTTACACAGAGAGGTGGACGATTTGAGCGAGCGACTATCAGAGCTATTGGCCACAACTGACACCAACAGTGCACAAGCAGCTATCATTAGGAGTTTACTTATGTAACAGATAATACCCTCTCTCTCTCTCTTTCTCTATATATCTACCTATTTCTCTTCTTCTCTTTTCCTCTTCTAGGGTTTGGTCAAGTAGATTAGAATTGAACTTCAATGCATCCCTGAGAAGCTAGATGTAGTAATTTCAAGTCAATAAAATAAAAAAAGGACTTGCATTTACAAAAGCCTTTTTTTCCTCTCTCTCTCTCTCTCTCTCTCTCTCTCTCTTTTACATTTACAAGTAAACAACAACTCTTGCCACCAAGTTGTCAATTTCAATACATTAAACTACGTCAAAATCCTATTCTTGTGTGTTGTGTCTACCTAGTTAAGGGTGCATCCTGATCGAAGGCCTACTTATTTTAACATAATCTTCTGCGTTGAATGTGACACTTGAATAGGATATAACCTTGTCTCCGTGATCTCAAAGAGCAGTGGAAAAACTAATTAAGCAATTTGAATTGACTCTCTCTCTCTCTCTCTCTCTCTCTCTCGATCGCTCGCTCTCGTGGGGGAATCTCAGGAAGCAAGTAGAACCCGTGAGTTCGACGTTTGAACCTCAAGTCTTCCGTAACAAAATATTAGCATGTCAGTCGGTCGACCCCATAACATTTACATTAACAATAATTTTCCTTTTCTCTAAGCAAGAGAGAGAGCCATCAGCCAACAAATAAGATCATAAGTTCACCATATAATTTATTGTTTCAAACTTATAAAATAGGCAATTCACTGTTGGAGTAGAGATATATAGAAGAAAAAGTGCACACTGCGTACTTTGTTCTCTACATGCTAATTAATAAACTTTGTTTTGTTTTTATGCTTCATTCTTAACTATAAGCTAGGCAAGGTAAACTCTAACACAGTAGAAGAGGATGACAATAGTAACCGTCTGACATAGCCATATGTTGTTCAAGATCCTTCTTTACAGATATACAAAGGTCAGAAATAATCGTACATGCAGAGGATACAAGTCCTGTTTACATGCTAACATGCATGGGGGTCCTTGCTATCAGAGTATGAAGGAAATAATTCAAGAGCTTTTGCCTTCTTCTTCCACTTTTCTATGACTGCAACTGTTTGCGGCTTACCCATTCGAAAATACAAATACCTCTAACAACTAATAATTGATTTCTACCCCACAACCCCTTCTGGGTTCTCACACAAGGTGTCACCATTGGAGCAACCATGCACAATGCACATATTAAACAGCATTTCAGTCCATTTTTCTGTCTCTGTTTTTGTTCTTTTCTTTCGTCTTTCTGTATGTGTCTCTGTCAAAATAGAGAGAGAGAGAGAGAGACCATGTTCCGGATTGACATGATCAGAAATGTCCTCACAGCATAATCCGCACCTTACCAACAACTACAAAACATTAACTACAGTAAGAAATAAACCAATTAGTAAAATTGGAATACCTGGCCACTACTCGATCGATCGGTGGATCATACTATTCATTAAATAATCTCAACTAACCCACACTAATGTTTGTAAATCAATGAATGACTTCTCATGTGTAAATGTCTGAGAGCACTTTTTAATCGTCGGACTGATCACTCATGTCAGAGCAAACTCATAACAATACAAGGTGGGGTATGAGTAATGGATCCGAATCCTATGTAGAGTAGGGACCAAAAAGAAAAATAATATAAGAGAAAAGAAAGATCCAGTCCAACTTAAAATAAATGAAAAAGAAAACGAAAGTATCTCCCCACCTGAGGGGCACCCTTCGTGAAACCAAATTAATTAAGCATGGAGATCATAGATCGTCACATCAATTTAATTAATGGTGGTGTCTGCGTACATACTCCGCTCAATAATTCTTCTCATTGCATGGGAGTGAAATACTAATTGTCAACCATTGCAAAATGCAATTAGTTTATATGCAAATTAATAATGTAATTAAATCCAGAAAGCTCATTGGGTCTGAATTAATGCAATCTTAATTAATTAATAACTGAAGTGAGCAGTAGTCATGCTGGGCACATGACCCTCACTGCATGTATTCATTTCACTTTGGTTTTAAATATTTCCTGATTAAGTTTAACGCAGTTTCTTTTCATCTTCATCTTCTTCATCATCATCATCATCATGTATGACTTGATTTCTTTGCAACCAGATGAATTGAGTTACAGTGCCCCGCACAGCTATTGAAGTGTCCAATCAGTACGTACGTGGCGGTGGGCCCACAGAGAATATCCATGCCATTTGATCCAAGATTTTCCTTTCATAGGGGTTGGGGTTTGGAGGACGGCCGACCCAGTACCCACCTAACGAAAATTTAAAGATAAGCCCGCCCTACTCCATAGCCATAAACGGTATTTAAAATATAGGAAGATTGCGTTGATTTTTGGGTCTAGCAATCTTCTAATAGGCCCCGCATATAGTTAACCGTTTTGAATTTTTTTTTTTAATTAAGATAAGAAGATGATGGTAGAGGTAGCATGAGAAAGGGTGGGGAATGGAATTTACAAAATGCATGCATGTGGGCTGGCAAACTGATTACTGAACCATGCATGTAATAGTATCAAGGAGACGACTTCCAAAGAAATCGCTAGCCAATGGTGATGCCCAATCATCATGATCAGTTTCATGCATGCATACTAATCACTAGTCAGTAGATTTTATTTTTGAGGATTTTGGTTTGAAGCAACCTCTCCTCTCTTTTAATTAATAATTAATGACGATAATCCCTGACCTGATAGTTGTTAAGACTTAAGACTTGGACCAAAAAAGGCCAAAGAATAAAATAAATAATTAATATTTGATACTCTTTCCCAGTCTACTGCCTGCAGCCTTTTAGAAAACACAACCTAATCATCACCATACATGTATTGAATTCCATCCCCTCCCCCCTTAAATACCCAAATATGGGGGATCCCTCTTCCACAAAACTAATTAGGGAATACTTAGTATATATTTTTTGGAAAGTGCAACAAAGAAAATTAAGTAATGATAAATATAATTGCTAAAGCTTCACTAAAATATATGTAGGATATGGTGTAGATATGATGACGACTAAGTGTACTGAATGTTCGCTGAAACCAAAACATGGTCTATTCAATCCAGTAAACAACTTATTCTCTACAGGACGATATATCATATACAATATTACATTGTGACAAATCTGCGTACTAATGGAATCCTAGACTTGCTGCATGTATAATATACTACATGCGTAGAGAGAGAGAGAGAGAGAGACAGCTGGAAACAATTTCAGTTACGTTGGAAATATTTCATCTGTATTTACGCCAATTTTCCATGGTAATTAAATCTTGTTTTCAATTTGCCTTTTAATCAAATCCAATGGGTGTCTTGCCAGAAAACTCTGCCCAAAACTTCTGTCGGCTTCAATAACATGGTATGGTTATAATCAAGTTGACATCTTTAGTACTAATTGCTCCTTTCGATCATTTTTAGAGTCGGCTCCAACACCTGGGCATTACATAGACTCATACTCTATGAGAAGTTTTAGAAGAGATCACTTTCACTAGATTTATGGGGCCACAATTAAGGTACCATTTATAATAATTAAATAGAGCAGACAAAGTTTGTATAGGATTGCCATAGACTGCACGTAGAGTAGCTGCACTGGACGTTACGTTAATAATTATATTATATTAGGTAAAAAGTCTCACTCTACAAAGATATTCAACACAAATCTGCATTTAAGTTGTCAAAAGATTTGAAGCTGGACGTCCTTTCTGTTACGTACAAATAAGAGAGAACACAGTTACACAGCTAACTAGATTATTTCACAAAACGAAGAATTCTTACATCGTTTTCTACAAGGCAAAAGAAAAAGAAAAAGATGAAAATGTCCTGGATGCATCAAATTAAGCAGAGCGCAACTCCGTGAAGCTTAGAGTTTAGTGAGCTAATATCACCACAAAATCTATGGAAAAGACAATTTACCTTGTCTTTCAAAATTTATCACCTACTTATTGCAGAAATGACACAATTAGAATAGGATAGGTGAGATCGTCCAGCAAATCAAGACGGATTACATTTAATTTTGAGAGGAATTGGTGGTAGCTTAATGGATGTCTACCGTGGACCCTGCAGGTCAGAGCAAATTAATACAAAGCCAAATTTCATTTAATCCTTAAATCATATATATATATATATATATATATATATCCATATCAAACATTCATTTAGGTCCTGTTTGATGGAAGGATTAAAGGTCTGGAATTGGAATTGGAATTGAAATTCTATTCCCATTTCTGATGGAATGGCATTCCCTGCAATAATCATTCCCTCCCTCTCCCTTGTGAATGAAATCCCACTCCATTTGATTTCAATTCTTATTTTAAATCCTGTCTTACCAAACAGATAATTAGAATATATCATTTTAATTCCAACTGCAAATCAAACGGACCCTAATCCTAACAGATCGTTGTTATGTATCTCTTTTCTAATGAACCAACTCATCAGACTTGAGCCTTTTTCCTTTATTTCTTTTATTTTCTTAATCCAATTAGATTTTCGCTGTGAATTGTCGGCAGAACTTTCCATTGGATTATTAGACCAGAAAGTAGTGATGTTAATTGGGCCATGATACTGGGCCTTGGGAAGAAGCAATATGTTCCGACTTGCAACTTCCCAGGCTCGGTTTTTATCCAGTCTCAGAGCTTTGTGCTTTATGTTTATCTATGGGGATGGGGACGGACCACTTCTTGAATTGAACAATAGGCATTGTCAGCCTCGATCGATATTCTGGGCTCAATCTCTATGTATGCTTACTGCATACAGTCTGCGTTTGTTTCTTCGTAAAATGTAAAATGGAATGGAAATTCTTTCAAACTGAAATATTCCATCTATTATTTTCAATGAACACTACATTTTTTTATCTATTAATTTGTTTGTTGCAAATGACAAGGAAAACAAAGTATAAAGTTTTTAGTTTTTTGTTGACACAAGGAAATTTTTGTGGTACTCCAAATCCAACAAAGCTAATACGAATGATGTGATGCGATTTATGTAATGCCCGGCCCACTCATATTTGGGCCGGACTCAACAAGTTGCATTCCCTAATCCTTACCAACTGAGACAGTTGATACCTTCAATCATCATCATCATCATATCCCAACCATACAGGGTTGACTACATTATCCTGTTTTACATTATTAGCGTTTAAAACATTTTTTTTTTTATTTTTACCTATGTCTCAATGGA